GCACCCCATTTCTCAATATGCTCGATATCCTTGGCCGTATACTTGAGCTCGTCCCGGGTGTCCTGCTTGTTGGAGTTGAGGAAGGTGGTCGTCGGCGAGGTACCGGGTTCCAGGGGGGCGGACCAGGAGCCTGTTTTTTGGTTCGGGGTGTTTTAGTATTTTCCTTTGAGCTTTGTGGTGGAAGCGGGCTGCTTACCGTGCTGAATGCCCGCGGTGAGGTGGTTGGGCCCCGCGTAGGCCTTGGTGGTGGCGAGGTCGAGGTCGAAGGCGCGCGCCGGCGAGTCGTACGAGAAGTGCGGGTGCATGCCCGTGACCTCGCCGGCGTAGGCGTGCATGCGGCGCGCGGTCTCCCGGGACTTGATGTAGCCCCAGACCATGGGGGCCATGTCGCGTTTGTCGTTCATGAAGCCGGCGTCGAAGTCAGGGCTTTCGTAGGGGTCCGCGGACTGGATATGCGTGAAGCCCCGGGAGAAGGGGTATTCCTGATCGATCCCAGGCGAGTGAGCATGATGGGTTGGGTGATGGCTGCATGTACGGGCTGGGTTGGTAGGTAGGTAGGCAGTTGACTTACCAAGAAGTGGAACATGGTGAAGAACTTGCCAGGGGGCATGAGCATGTGGTCGCCGAACCAGCTGAAGGGGATCGATCGTTAGATAGGGAGGCAAAGAGAGATTGAGGGAGGGGGGAGAACTCACCCAGCGATGACGGAGTAATGCATCACAGGCTTATCGGGCTTGTTCTTAAAGTAGCTCTCCCAGCCCTTGTAGAAGTCGTTGGTCGGCCAGGTCTTCATCTCCTCCAGTTCCTTCGGGGTGGGCCGGATCTTCACGCCGGCTTCGATGCCGTTCGTCGCCAGCGGGCCGGTGCCTTTGATGTTCCATTCGTCGAAGACTTTCTTCTGGACTTCGGGGTCTCCGCGCACGAAATCATCGAAGGACTCGACGTCCGGCTTGGCTCGGTAGACCGAGAAGGTCAGGTAGTGGTCTTGGAAGTTGCGGCCAACACCCGGTAGGTTCACCAGGGGCTCGACGCCAGCCCGGCGAAGCTTCTCTGGATCCCCGACGCCTGACCGCTGGAGAATGAGCGGGGAGCTGAGGGTGCCACCGCAGACGATTATCTGCTTGCGGGCCTTGAAGACCCTCCGCGGTGGGTTGTGGCCTGCCAACGGCTTGGTTGGAACCGTTGCGACTCCAACTGCGCGGCCGTTCTCGATGATAACCTTGTCAATCTTGGTGTTGCACTTGAGATGTAGGTTCGAGTACTGGGATCGGGTGCTGTGGACGTAAGCGTGGGCGGAGTCGCTGCGCCGTCCTGGTGAAGATTGTCATTAGCATCGGTATAATGGATCAAAAGCGGAAAAGACTCGTACCGGTATCACGGTTGATCCATTTCAACCAATGTTCGGCTCCGTGGCTGAGCAAGAAAAGTTAATATCAGACTCCGAGATACAGTGCTAGCTACTGACCCAGTCTTCAAGTCCTGCAAGTCATCAGTTATAGGGATATCCTGCGACTCGGCCGCTCGGAGGAAGTCCTGCATGATCGGATAGGTGTAGTTTCCGAACGAGACCTTGATGGGCCCTTCGAAGCCGTGGATGTCGCGGTTGTTGCACGCACGTTGGTAGGTCTCGTGCTTTCTCATCAAGGGCAGGAGTTCGTCGGTCTTCCAGCCGGCAGATTCCCAGTCGTCGTAGTCGGAAGCAGATGCACGGGTGTACATCTAGAATAGCCATCAGCCATGACGGATGTCAACTGTCAACAATAAGGTATGCATACCATGAAGTTGATGGAGCTGCCACCCCCCAGAACATGAGCACATGGCACGACGGCGCGACGTCCATCGAGCCATTCCGAAGGCCGGGAGTAGTAGAACGAGGCTGTCTTAGAGTCCAGCTTCATGTTGCGGGGATAAATTCCCGGGCGGTAGACCCTAAGACACGATTGGTAGTGCTCTGACCACAAATAGTGGGAGAACTTACCATGGGTTGTTCAAATTGTCCTCGCCGGCTTCAATCAGCAGGACCTGAAGATTGTGGTCCAGGTTGGCGAGGCGGCCGGCCACCACACACCCAGTGCTTCCACCGCCACAGACGATAATATCATATTCATCGGGGATGGTCATGGCTGCGATGCGATGCAGTGCTTTCTGTTATGGAACAGAAATGAGAATCAATCCCTGGCGGCCTTCGATGCTCATCGAGTTTATATAGCCCACACCCCGCCTCCACTGAAATCTGTCAGTCGTCATGACTAGACACGACAGGGCAAGAGTGTCACAACAAACGAAGTCTGTCTCCGCACGAATCGTCCATGACCCCGCATACGACTCCTTGACCCTCCATGGTCAAGACAGGCATTGACCGCTCGCGGCCAATCAGTATGTCGCCCGAGTCAGGGTACTGCTATAGTAGACGAGGGTTATGAGCTTGGATGACTCTTGGATGACTTGGTTGAGAAGAGAAAGCTGGGGTATGTAGCTGGAAACAAAGAGCTTCCCCGCATATAGAGAGGGGGCGATGCATTCATCATGCAGTAAGTGGCCCAGGGATACGATTAGGCAAGGGCATATAGTATGGGAGTGATAGTATGGAACATCATGAAACCGGAAACCGGAACGCGCAGGCACCGATCACACTTATATTATCTAAGATAATCCATTAAAAACCGTCTTTGTCTTCTTCAATGAGAACAAACGCAAACGGAAGGCAGGAGAGCACAAGCTTATGACTGGAAATGTCAACCTAGACAATACTCCGACCAGCAAGATTCCATTGCGATTGCAATGAAGTCGAACAAACAGCTAGACAGCTGTGGGAGGTATGAGTGCAGTAGCCGACGATGTGCCGGAAGGATTGGCACGAAGGATTTTGCGGGGGAGCAGTGGACGGGAAAATAGCCACGGCAGAATGTAGTGCAGATCAATCCCTGACAATAGTGGGGGGGGTTTTATGCGGAGCTCGTGTTGTGGGTTGCTTTGAGCTGACAGGCTGATATCATGGATCGAAGTTCCAGACGCCGGAAGGTACAGTACAGTAAGAACTGTAGTGCGGGGATCGCCAGAACCCAGAGCAGAGAGCTCTTCCCCACCTCCACCTGCAATGCATTGCCACCGTCAGTTGCTCGGCGCCAATAAATGATTTCCCCCCAATGACCCTCGGACTTAGAGCCCTGCTATTATGGTACAGGATCCGCCCTGTTCGTTGAAACTGGCTCTGTCCTCCCTCTTTTCTCATTCAAGGCTGAGTATGCTCCAATGCACACGGGAGCGGAGAACCCCTTCTGGAGGCCCACAGTCATTCGAGACATCAAGCAGCACTCTAGAAGAAGAAGAAAAAGTACTTTTCCCGGTCCATCCGGCCGAGTCACTGCGCTGCGATAACCCCCCGCCCGGCCGTCTGCTCTTTTTCCAAAGTGAACTAAATCCCTTGAGGACGAGGGCTGTTACCGCGCGTGCTGCTGCGCCAGCTGGCGTCTCTGCTCCAGAATCTGCATGCGCAGACCCTCTGCAGCCAACTCCACATCGAGGATCGCGCCCACCCCGCGTTTCCATGTCTCCTCCAATCCTTCCAGCTCGGCTTGATTGGCTTCCTGGGCCCTCTTCCTCTCCTTGTTGACCGACTCCGCAGCCTCCTTGGTCTCGGCCAGTTCCTTCTCCAAGCCGCGGAGGATCTCTTCCAGCTGCGAGTTGCCAATCAGCCACGCGTTCTTCCCGTTCTCCTCCAGTAGCGCCAGGTTGTCGTGCCGCATGGACAGGTGGGAACTGGCCGTGTAGGCCTTCTGCAGTGTCCGGCGCCACTCCTCGAGGTCGGGGGATCCGTCCGATGCTCTGGCGGGCGGTTCGGGGGCCTCGTAGCGTGATATGTCAATTCCACCAGTCAAAGGCAATCCGGACGCCTTGCGATCCACTTCCTGCTGCATGAGGGGGGAGAACTGGGGGTCGGGGAAAGCGGGGATAGACGGGTGGATGGTGGTCTGGAAGTCGCCCGGGAGCTCTGCGGCAATGAGCTTCTCCGCCGCTTCTCTGGCTGAAGTTGAGGGCTCTGCCTCGATATCTATGAGGAAGATTCACGCGTGTCAGAAGGAGAATTCTCGGGAGCTCCGGGGAGGCAACTCACATGGCAGGGAGTCGTGCGATTCGTTGATGAGAGGCATTTCTGATGCTTGTGTCTAATCTCTTATGTAGGATGTTGATTACGCCTTGAATGGGACTTTAAGAGGTGTAAGTAAGGATGAATGCGATAAACAAATGTCTCCAAGGTGTACTTGATGGACGACTTGCCGGAGCTTTTGGCCAAGCCAAGCACAAGGGCGGTAGAAATACCGAGATGACTCAGCAGGTTTCTGCCCAGGCCCACCGCGAAGCGTGGGGGGAGCACAAAGGTGCGTGTCCTAAGCGATTCCCCGAACTAACAATATCCTCACTCTTGTTGCGGATATCTTCCTCGTGGATTTCTCTGGGTTCGTATTTGAGCTCTTGGGCGGGCACGCGGAAGGATTTCTCTTCGAGGTAGAGGAAGAGGGCCAGACGCTTAGTCTATGCTTGTCTTTTGCATTCACAACACAGGATATTGACCATCAACTGATATTAGTATCCTGCAAATGGGACAGGACATCTACCCCCTAAACATTCATATAGCTTCCACTGGTCTTGGAATTTCCCTCCCCTCGATCTGTGTATGGCAGGTTCTTCCAACAAGGTAGATTCTACGGGTGCGTCTAAAGGAGAGTGCGCTTGTTTTTGTCTATCTCAGCAAAACAAGATGTCTACTCGCATTCCCGTCCTTGCTCTACACCTGTTGCACGCGGTAGCTGAGCAGGAAACCTCGGCGCAGTCGCTCTCAAAGCGTACCCTTCATGAGTACTCTCGTGTGGCCCACTAGTCGCTTGCCAAGACCTTCTCCATAATATACGGCTACACTGAGGACCCGTTCTGGTGGGAGGTGGTCATTCTCAAATCTCACGGTGGTTTGGCATTCGACCACCAGTGGTATGGGTGTCAAGTTGGTCGGTAGTCGGGAGGATTTGCAGTCAATTCTGCCGACATGATTCCCCTCTCCTGCTATTGTAATGAATCAGCCTAAGAATGCAGGATATGTTCTGGTCATGAGTAAAATTACCATGAATTTCGGTAAGGCTTAGCGGCGTATCACTTGCCACAATAACAATGCGAGCGTCTCCAGTAGGGGTGCGTGACACCTTCATAGGAGCCTCCACGCAACAGCCATCATTGAACGAGCAATTCTGCCCCAGGTCCACCACGTCAGCAGCAATTGAAAAGGCTAAGAGCGCGTCTTACCCGGTTGAAAATGGTCGCAAGTTCCTCTTGGCTCTCCCAGGCTAGATAGTAGTTTTTCTAAACTTTGAAATTGAATCTAGCTACCCCGCGGATACCGCACATTGTAGCACCAAGGGAAACCGCTTGCACCCGAGCATCCCTATCAATCTCGGTAGGCTTTAGAGAATTGGGAGAAGAGGGTATGTTGCAATGGGGGGTAGACGGAAGTCTTACACATCTGTTGGCAGGTAGACCGTGATACCGAACTCGGTTTCAACCATATTTCGAATTATGCCCGAGAGTTCAGGGGACTGGGTCAGCCCGCCAACCAAAAGCAGCTCCTGTCAAGCATATTTAGCCATTCGATCTAGCCTTGAATGCTCTCAGAGGATTGGGCACTTGAATCATATCTCGACCCACGTATATAGCGGCGCAATCCACCTGCTGTCGAATGTAGCCAACAAATCTTCTGGCAAGGCTAATGTAACACTCTTCGATCACTCCCCGGGGCAGATCTCCGCGAGTCGGATCAATGACCGATGCCGGGCCAGCTAGGAAAGTCTTCTGGGCCCATTCAGAGAACGGACAATCAATGCTTGTAGCTCTCCTCCTGAAGCGGGTTATCATCTGACGCTCCTGTAATTTGTCATAGATTAGGGACTGGAGCTGAACACCTCCGTAGGCTTGACCTTGTAGGAAATTAGCCAGGATCACATTTTTCCGGGGTCTTGCTTACTGGTGTACGCGGTTAACCTTTGGTACTCAAGGGAAGGGGGTGGTTGGTCGATTAAAAATGCAGTCAAGTCCTTGCTTGTCGCCTTAGTAGAGCGAACACAATCTTTTTTATTCACACTGGAAAGAGCCTCTTACAATCGTGCTTGCACCGCAGTCGCAAACAATCACACCATCATCTAACTATTATAGAAAGCCTCGGTCATTTAAACTGGCGGCGAAAGTGAGAGCGAGGCAGCATGGTCTAGTTACCTCGCTGAACAGTCTCATGTTGAAATCGCTTTCAGTGGCTGCATACATGGCAACCGCCTCGGCCTCGGTGGTGAAGCAGACTGTTGCGTTTCGATGTTCAAAGCCTGCCAGCTGAATGGCTTTTTTCATCATCATGCGGGTGTGCTCTGACCAAGTGGCCGGAACGGTAAAAGTGTACACTCGGGGTAGGTTTTTGAGATTAACGATACATTCCAGCTCGGCCCTGAGGTGATGTAACAGCACCCGGAGGAAGTCGGCTACCAGGATGTAGGGATTGTCTCGCTGCTTCTGAGGCAGTCCGTTCCGTACCCCCCGGACAAGGTCCTGGATCGGTGTATCACCTGAGTCATCTATTTTACATGATTCATGCAGTAGATGCTTTAGCCAGTAGATACAGTTCGAACGCCTCTCGGCGGCTTTGCCAATACAGCATAGCTCATCCGACATATAAGCAATTTTCGACGGGATGATAGGACTTTCGTGAAGACAGAAACGGTAGGGACTCAAGTGAGCGGAGCTAGACTCTTGATATGAAATCACTGTGTAGTAAGTGGAGATGTGAGTGACGAACACATTTGGACGGGCGGGAAGGAAGAAGAATCTGGCGGGTATGATACCTGTCTTGCTGGATCCAAAATCGATTCCCACAGCCAGTCTTGACTCTTCCATGGTTCTCTGGGTAAGCCACAGCACGATAGAACAATGACGAGATCGAAAGATACGGGGTAATTTCGCAGTCAGTTGGTCGAGCGGGGTGGCGGATCAATTGCAGTCCTGGTCCGGCTCTGAGATAAAGAGAATGCTAGCAGATTTTGGGGGAGGGGCAGGGGGAGGAAGGATGAGGGGGTTTTTGTTGTTGTTGTTGTGGTGGTGATGGTGATGGTGGTGGTGGTTGTTTGCTGTGCGTTTGCAGGCTTTGTGAAACAAGACAAAGAGAAAGACCAAGTCCCCCCGACGATAAGAAATTGACGCCCACAGGATATAACCACGGTGAATACCCACGGTGGAACTCCCCTCTTCTATCTTTTCTTCTCTATCTCCATCCTCATACTCAACTTTCCATTTTCATAGAGTTGAAGCATCATGGTGAACACACGAAGCCAGAAGAGAGAAGGAAAAGCAAAGAGAGTCAGTTCCTTCTCCATCCACCAAGATACCACCCATGTGTCTGATCTGCATATAGGAACGCGGGGCAGTCGACGGCAGTCATCAGCCATCCAGAAAGCCTTCTGTACACCTGACAGCTGAGGAGTACGAGGCCTATCAGAGCCATTGTAATCGCATGTCAATCACTCGGACTGAATACGCGCCTAACCCAGATGCCGTCATACGCAATTATGATGATCTCAATACTAGGGTCAAAGCATGGAATGAGGAATACATCTGCGAAGACATGCCCTCCCTTTCCGAGAACCAGAAACAGAAGATCATTCAAGGTCTAGATACATTCTGTATTCAAGAACCTTGGGATACCATTCAAGCCTTACTCTCTCCCGAATCCCGTGATCAATTTCATCTATACTTGTGTGAAGCCATGGTCAATAAATTGATCTTCACCCGGTTTCTCGAAAGGCCATTCTGGTTCCTGGATGGGAAACTGGATGAAAATGATGAGACTGGAGATCCGTCGTTCGCTGAGCGACTTCACTATCTGTATCAAAGATACCACGAAGGTAAGTTGTTTCCGCCCGTTCTCTCTCTTCGACCGATGATGGTTGGATTCTGACAAGGACGCTTGTCATCCCTGGTCCTTTTAGCAAGTCCTGTGAACGCAGTTTGGTGGAGGATGGTCACCCTCGGCCTGGCCAACCTGAAGAAAGACTTTTCGCCCAGGGATCCTCGTGACAACCCTCCTTATGTTTTTGGGGATGAAAATCGAAAGCGACAGGCGAACATAGCAGAGAATCTGGCGGATCATCTTCTAGAGGACAGCCTGTTTCAGCTATTTCTTGATGAGTTGGCCGGTGCGGAAGAGGATACGAGGCGTCGTAGGCTGATCGGGGTTCTCCAAGTCGGTGCGCAGTATCTCACAGCGCATGAGTTGGCATTGGGAGGACAAGTAAAGGTTCATCAACTGCCCGAGTTGAAGCAGTTTGACCCAGCTACAGGAATTATGTTCTCGGGTCGGGTCCATCAAAGGGAGCGGAAGAATACTCCGCCCTTGGTTCCCAAGCCTCACGGCCGGGTGATCCTCGTTCTACGACCTGGGGTATACCGATACGATCTTCCCAACAAATGTGCCGTACGACCGTCACATGAGTGCTGTTGAGTTAACGGGGGATACTGACTCCTACCTGGTCTGCAAAGCTGAGGTTATGGTGGAAGCAGTCAAGGCCAGCAACCCATCTGACGCAAGTCAGCCCGACCCCGAGGATGAGGGTGTCTGGTTCCAACGCGGTTGGGGCTAAGAACTCTCATCCCCTCCCGGGGCTCTGATCGGTCTATCCATTCGGTCTGGCGGGTTTTGCGTTCGAAATCGTTCTTCTATATCATTTCTCGTTCTTCCGGATCGAGAGCTTTATGCGTGCGAGAATATTTCTATCGCGGTGTCTACAAACAAATATGTCAATCGCCCAACCCCTTTCCGTGATTCGTGGCAGTGAAACTCTCCTGTAGCCTCCTGGCAACATCAAAGCCGGTTCATGGGCTTTTCGCTGGCGCCTTGAGTGTCCAGCTAGTCGTCCCTATTCCGACGGGATTCGCCCGGCCACAATTGTGGGCGGTCGGAAGGTATTCGGGTTGGTAGGTCACTGTGCTGCTGGATGTACTGTGTAAAATGTGAAGACTGGCGCTGGTGGAAGAGTCGAGGTCCACTGGGAGAGGGTAGAGTAGGCTGTTTGTAGTGAAGTCAGTCCGTCAGCCGTCCGCTACCCATCCCCCATGATGTCCACCGGTGGGTGACTACCACTCTGGCTCCGGCTCCTCATCGGAGGAGACCACGGCCAGTACCAGCCTGGCAGCCTCTATCCCCCGGAGATTCCATCGCCGCGGTGCCGTGCGGTCCATCCATTCGGACCAGTCCCCCCAAGCCGCCGACCGGAGGATCTGCGCGTACTCCCAATATTCCGGATACCAGCCCGCGTGCTCCCAGTCCAGAAGCCCCGTGATCCGGTTGTTCGCATCGACCATGATGTTGCGGGGCGCGATGTCCGCGTGGGTGAAGACGGTGCGCCCGGACCGGGGCAGCATCCTCGATAGATCCTCGGCTGCATACTGAGAGCCGCCGAAGTGCTGGTAGCGCTCACAGATGCGGGCCCGCAGCTCGGCATCACTCTGCAGGGCGCGGGGAGGGTCCTGCAGGTCTTCGAAGAAGGTATCGCGGGGAACGGAGCCGTCGACGCCGCACCGGACAATGTCTTCAAGCTCCGGTGGCCGCGGAATCGCCTGGATCTCGGTGATGAGCTGCCACGTTTGTCGGCAGACGGCCTCCTTGCCCCGTTCGTCCAACGTATCCCATCTTCCGTCGAGCGAGGTTCCCGGCACGATCGTCATCTCGATATTGCCGTAGCCGGCACTGCATGCGGTGTGGATCACGTGGGGCACCGGGACGGCGGTATGTCGAGACACGAGTCGCATCGCCTCGACCTCGGCGCGCCCCACGTTGAAGCCGGCCTTGGAGACATACGACAAGTCGTGCAGGAGTACCGTGTTGCCCCAGAGGTCCCTGCTTAGAACTGTGAAGATTTCCTGGTCGGGTCTGAGGGCTAAGATATCTGCCACTGAGGGCGTTGAGCAGGGAGATATGGTCCGTCCCGTTCGCTTATAATGCTGTCCAACCTGGATGTTATGCATACTTGGGAGCCCAGTTAATCTCAAGGTATAGAGAACGATGTTGTAGCAATTAAGAGAATTAGAGCAAGGTACTTAGTGAGGGTGGGTTCAGAATGATGGCCACCGATATCCAAGTGAAAAGTGACTTAAGCGACCACGCTGACCGTGAGAGCATCGATATCCACAGAGTCAACAGATGTGAGGCTTGAGTGCTTTGCTTTCGCATCCCTTCACCTTCACCTCTCTTTGATTTCCTCGTCTTCAATGATCTGGTGTTAATTTACTATACTGAGCTTGGACAGCTTCGCACCTTGCGTCCGGACGGGTCCGGGCCTTACTTCATTGTTCGTCAGCCTTCTCTCACTGATATACTCATATTCAACCATTTAGTGAGCCAGATATCGGTACCTAATTTCCGTAAGCGATTCACTAGGAGATAGAAATCACACCTGTCACCAAAGTCAGGCTAAAGGAAAAAGGATGTGCCAAGTCAATGGCCGTCGCGTTCAAAACGTCCCTACTAAATAATGCTCCCAGAGCACCCCAAAAAGGGCCATGCATGCAGCCCACTGCATCCTCCCTTTCGCCCAAAGACCTGATCTATCGCACAACAGTCTCCAGCGCTGAAGCACCTGGTCAGATCTTTTCCCGGGCCCCTAGCATAGCCTGTCACTGAGAACCATCAAGGGCCGGGATATCTGTCTGCTGGTGAAGTCAACCAAGCGACAGTCTGTCCTTGCCCGAAGGTCGCGATGTTGCTACCAGAAGAATTGTATTAGCATCCGGTCTTTCACCTTGACTGGCTCGGCTCATATGAATCCCACTCTCAATCAAGAGATCCTGAGTCGGTGCTCCGGGGCCCCGTCACGATGCAATGTTACTAAGTTGTACGGGGGTACCTGATAAGTCTTATACCCTTTCCCTAGGTCTGCCGGGCGATGGTTAGTTTGGCTGTCGGTTCCCCGTAGCAGTAACATGAAGAGAGAAACAACCATGCTATAGGGGGATGTACTGACGAGCATAATACTACACTTGGGAAAAGTAGTAAGATGCTGGTACAGCAGCAACGCCTTCGATCCTACGGAGCTGGAGTCAAAGCCGACCCCATAGGCTGTGCTTCGCCACCATGAACCGTTACTAGCCAGAGCATCGTTTACCACTCGCAGCAACGGTGGAGGCGCCCCGTCACGTGCGGAGGTGCGTTTCACCCTGGGAGCGGGAGTAGAGAGGAACATTGTGATACTGGCAGTCAGGGATTGCAGGATACTGTCGAGAAGTCTGCCGGTCTTTTGTCAATTGGATTGATGGTTTGGATTATTATTTGTACTAATTCTTCTTCGCCAAAGAATATACATGATTCAGTCAGTGGATCTGAACAGAAGCTCTCTACCATGTACAGTGAATTATCGGTTGATGAACAATACCGCCCGGGTTGATCAGTAAACAGGGGGAAAGAAAAGGAGGAACGTGTATAATACAAAGAGATTGTGCGGCCAAAGATGTATGAACTCGACCGGAGATGCGCCAGATCGTAAGTGTTGAGCAGGGGAATTGAAGATTATAAGTGGTATCAAGAGAACTCGAGGTTTCCCTGTGATGTGCCAGATTCACTGGGAGATCACCAGGCTCATCCTGTTTGATGAGACAGAGAAAGTAATGAGAAAAAGAAGATCGTCCGCCCGTAAGAGTCCGTAAACGCCGTTTCTGCGTAGGTGCATGCTCCTATCGCATGCTGTATTGTAATCAACAATGCTGGGGGGGAGGGGGGGGGGGAATCAAAATAGCCGCTTGACATCGACAATCTCGACATTTCCCGGGCGGTCTCGTTCCATATGGAACCACCATTCTCGTCCACTTCGGTGACTGTAGTTCCACGACCCAGTGCAAGCATCGCGATCCCAGGGAAGTGCTGCTATCGACATTGGCGTGGACGGGGTTATAGGCGTATTCGGACTCGTTCCCAGCGCGGAACGGCTTCCGATGCTCCCCCATCCAAATCGTGAAGTAGTAGTCGAGGTCGGGGATGGTGGCTCCTCAGCCAGCGGCTTGGTGTGTCCCTTGACCCCAAAGCAGTCCGCCCCAACCCCAGCAGCGTATGTCAGGGATTGATTAGAAGCGTGTACGTTCTTCCACGAAACCAAGCCCCCATCTCCATCCTGCCCAGGTATATCCGGTCGAAGAACAAACCGCGGGATCGAAACGTCCTGTGCACTGGTCCTGGAACCAATTCTGCCCATATATGCCGGCATATGGAAATCGTACACAACAGCCGGTCCCTCATGCTCATCCGTCTCGACATCGTGGTTTTGCCGCTCGCGTCCCACGCCGCCGATGTCAAACTCGTCCATTCCAAGATCAGATTCATCGTCGGAAGACTCGTCTTCGAGTGCGTTGTCCGGTACATAGGAGTCGGAATGGTCGGTGACAAGGAATCTCATCCCATGCTCTGTATCCTTGGCAGCCATGTCAATGAATGTTTGGGCTCGGATGCGAGCAGAAGTCAAGTTGTTTCCTGCGGGCAATGCCATTGGACGGGTTGTGACTGAACCATGGGAGCTGCGGGGAAGACTATAGCGATCGGGTTTGAGCAGCGCCTGTCCACGTGGCATAGGCTGGCAGACAGCCTGCAGGACCCCGGGAGGTTCTATGTCTGATGGCGCACGCAGAGCCTCGAGACGAGGAAACCCGCTAGCAAGAATGCTTTGAGCAAGATGTGAGTTTGGTGAATCCGTATGCCGGGGTGGTTTGATGAACGGGACGTAGTCGAGTCTGCCCAAGGCAGCACCGGAGTCGGGGCCGGAAACATCCCAGTGAAGATATTCGAGACTTGACGAGGCCAGAAGCGGCTGGAAAACGATACCGTCGGTATTCAGCGTCGGGCATTTATTGCTTTGAACGAAAGTAAAGCGTTCAAGCTGCCCGAGAGATGCTAGCATTTTCGAGATCACCAGGAGCGAGTCGATGTTTTGTTCAACAAGAGCGAGAGATTTAAGGGAGCTAGACTCGGGCTGCGACGCGTACTGGCAGAGGCCCGTGTCGGTGACTCCCGGGAGATTTTCCAGGCGGAGCGATTCCAGCGGTGGTAGGCATTGCAAGGTGCTGTCGTTGAAGGCGTCTGCGTCGAAATTGGAGATGCAGAGGTTTCGCAACGAAGGGAGCTCACTGCACATGCGAAGGAAGATACTTGGCTCTAGGGAGTTTTTTTCATCCAGCCCGTAAAGCATCAGAGTTTCCAAGGATGTCCACTGCGCATGATAGTCGAGGAACTCGAACATTTGTGATGGACCCAAGCTCCAGGGGCAGTATGTACTTCGAGGCGATCTCTCAGTTATCGCCGCAGCCTCTCCCAAGATCCACGTGTGCTCCTTCAGCTTTCGCCGCGTCGATAACGCATGTGTCAGGCGATCAAATTCGTGATGGTAAGGAATGGTCAAGCCCAGCAGCCGTTCCAGGTTCGGGCAGACCATGACCACGGATGCGACCAAATCCCGATATTCCTGCCATTGGGTGCTGTGTCTGATTGTTGTGAATAGCAGGTCTAGTTGGGGTACTCGAAGCTCTAGAACAAGATTGGCCAGCAATTTCCTCTCCCGGAGGGTTCGCCGTAATAGCTTGAGGCGACTTCCGCGCTTCAATCGATATTTCTTCAATTGGTTCGGTGAATCGTTCCCAATGATGTGTATACGGTTGTACCTAAGATGGGAGGATCTGTTAGCTCCAATGTCGTTCTTAGACTAGTGCCATCACTCACAGTCTTGCTCTGACTGCCTTCTCCCACGGGCGAGAGGTTAGAGAAAGCGCATGTAAGTCGCGTTGGAAGCATGTTAAGCATCCATTTTGGTTGGGGCCTGTGTGTAAGTAGTATAATTGATCTAAAATCGCATCGTACACCTCCTGGGGTAAACGCTTGAAGACCGACTCCAAGATCTTATCCAGAGACGCGGCCGAGTCGCAGAAGCGAGGAAGTGATGCCGAGAAGACAGGGGAGGTAGAGTATTCTGTGGGAGCAGTTGAAACACTGTAGTTGCTTTTGAATGAAGAGACTGATGATGTGCGAGATGAGACCGGCTGCACCGTCACGGCATACATCGAATCCTTGTAATCTGAAATGACCTGGCTTTGGTGAGGAATAGCGCTGTAGGAGACAGGCGTGCTCGTAGGTCTACTGGCGACAACGCTCATTTTGAAGATCGGTGTTGCATGAGACACTCGGTCGAAGAACAGTGCACGAATCTCGAGTTTTGGTAGGGAATGAAGAGCGCGTGGGTGCGTGCGCAAGGACCGTTGGAGACACTGAGGGAAAGGGGGAGGAACTCCGATAATGAGAGTGGGGAATTGATAAACCGAAGAGAATGACGGTAGTATGTATATACAAAGATTGTGGTGCTTGGGCACACCGACCAAGTATGTGCAAGAGATAGACTGAAGGTGCAATGGAAAGAAGGACAGAATGGATCAGATATGGTCCTGTAACAAGAGAATGCTAGCGACAATGGTCGCAGTCTAAAAGGACAAGGATTTGAAGCAAGGTTATGGGAAGAGAAAAAAAAGAACAGATGGAGCGCGACTATTTTAGGAGAAGGAGGGGGGGGACAGTGTGGGAGATGTGGGCAACGAAAGTTATCAGAAACGCCAATAGGCCGAAACTCAGTTATTCCCCCAAAGTGGCTTAACGCAGGGCCATCAATGGCACAAGAAAGTCAGAGGCAGAGCACCGCGAACACGCCACTGCTTCTTGGGGGGGGGGGTAAAAAGTGTATGAGAAAGACTTGGGACGGCAGTCGAGGGCCGATCGTCTCCACTGGAGCAGTGAGGATCTTGAATGGCACTAGACCACTAGTGTGCTGTCCTGAGAGCCGTGCGGAGCAATGCAGTGTGGTGCATGACTCCAACTCGTGCAGCCGTGCTGAACCAGATCACAAAGCTGTGGAGGAAGGCGGAGAATTTGGTTCACACATCCAGCAGTCTGTCTCATCAACAACCTGCCTTGGGTGGCTTATCCGGCCTGTCGAATATGTCCTCCAGAAACAAATGCAGGGACGGGCTGGTCATCTTTACCTCAAAGCGGAGCAAAGCGAGTAAATTTCCAACTTGATGAGGTTCTGCCAATGGAGATGGAAGTCCGCCCGTGAACTAAATTGTTAGCCGGAGATTTAGTTCTCTGGGGTCAGACATAGCGGTAGTAGCAGCGGCCCAAACAAGTAAGGATGAGAGAACACAAAACTCGAAGCCCGTCAGACTGTATGAAACATCCCGATTTACTCCGTACTGTACTTGTGCGAGTGCTTTCGCTTCGCTCTATTTTGGGAGTTTTGGTTTGCTCGTCATCGGAGATTCAGTGTAGCGTACCAGGATGCATGAAGAAATAAGCAAAACAATGATGACGAGGACCCCAGAGAAGAGTTTGGGTTGGAGTCCGTTGAACAGACAAGAGGGGAGGAGAAAAGGAGGTGTCCACGGTCAGGGTGGCATGGATGAATTCCGTACATGGAATGGGATGCCTCGACACCCGTGGAACAAGGCGAGGACACTAGGCGGGTTCCGGGCTAGCTCGGGCTGACGGGGCTGACGCTAGAGTCAGGAACTCATCACGCTAAGCTACATTCAGCCGGTTCCTGCTGCAAACCAAACAGTGGTCCAGTCAGATCCTCCCCTCGCATCTCCTCAAACCCCCTTTTTCGATACCGTACTTGCTTCTTGTATCTCCAGGCTCGATTATTCTGCCGTTACAAGATGTTGCCCGGAGCCCGGTTTCTGATCCAAGGTCTTGGTTTCTCTGTCTGAGATATTAATACCCTCCAATGACTCAGTAATGTCCTGGGCCTCTTACATCTGAGACTCGGTGACTGAGGATTCGGAACAACAGGAGCAGCAGGAGATCGGAGAAGCGGAAAGGGCGGCCGCCTCCTGAGGATGAACCACCGTTATCAGCATTCAGCAACGAGCGCATGATCCATCTCTCGATGGAGCGATCCCACTTGTCGGTTCGCACCGTCAAATAACCATTGGCTGATGCGCGGGACCCATTTGTGCAGAGCACATTAATACCACCCCCATATTGATCGGTCTGCCAGGTGGACTGTTCGGAATAGGTTAGTAAGCCGTAGTGTCTGCACTCCGAGCATCAATCTCAGACAGCGAGGACGGGAGCAGGATATTTACTCGGACATAACAGTGCTCAAGCCGTGCCCACTCGACTCCGCAACAAATGAAGAAATATGAATACCTCTCTGCTGATGGCAGAAGAGGGAAGTACCAGAGACTACCAGGAGTGTGCTCGCCAGGAAAACATTGAATCCAATTCTTGAGCAATGGATTACCAGCACCAGCCAAGATAGGACGACACGTACACAACAGACAGCCGAGCGGACAACTTAGCGAGCATCCCTCACGAGTCCAGCCGTTGCCTACGTAGTAGTGCCTAGCAAGTTACTTGGTACTACTCCACCGCTCAGGCAGTGGCAAGACAGTCGCTGTCCCAATTTTGTTCCATCTAGTATCACGATCCTGGTTTGGCTATCACAGTTGCCGTGTGTGAAGCATCTAAAGAGCTGGCAACACTCTGTCATCGGTGAGTAAGCAAGTACAATCACTAGTTAACTACGGTACTTTCGTAGAACATTGTGAAACAGCAATGCGCCATCTTTCCCAGGGGCTGGGTTTTTTTCGACCCAGATCTAGTGGGGGTGGCTGCAGTGTTGTGCAGTCGGTCGGGAGGCGACCCTGCAGGTACAGTATAGGTACGTGCTGCATGAAATCATGTAACTGCCCGCTTCCAACGTAATTGGTGGGTGCATCTTATTTAGAGTACCAAGGTGGCCTCAGGCCACGACCTCCTTTTCTTGGCCGTGTAAATTGTAAATGGATAACTTATGTGTGAATCTCGACTTCGGGAGCGGCAATACCGATTGATCAATCTTGAAAAGGGAAAGGGTCGTGATTTCCAGCAAACAACTCAAGCCGGAAATCCCCAGGTCGATCCCAAATTTGAACGCGGGACACGGTCGATCATGACTTCTCTATGCCAATCCGGTAGGCTCCCTACCGTTATGCTTTTGGCTCCGACTATCGCAATCTTGCTTGCTTTAAACTTTCGGAGACAAATACATTGATGTTCTCCAGTGGGCTGCACTGCCTAACTAGATGGTTACTCTGGGCGACTGTGTGTTTCCTGGCAAACTCACAAAGATTCAGTGCCTAGATGGTTCGTTCCAAATACGTGCCTAACCTTCGGCATTAGTGGCGTGGTTATCGGCTAGTGCTCTACACATCGACTCAATTATCATGCCACAAGCGACTACCTAGTACTTAGTCAGTTAGACCTATCCATTATCCAAGCAACAACTAAGCCGGGAGCTAGTGAAAATGGCCTACATAGTACGGAGTACTTCCCTGGATGATGTCATCGTACCCCGTCTAAGTTAACAGCCGAGTTCATCTATCCATGCATTAAGCAGTAAGGTACCTTCTTCCCTGCGTCGTGCTATCAATTAACCACCACGCTGCAACCATCTGAGCGATACTTCAAGCGACTACCACTGCCAAAAACACGACTCCGGACAGCACAAGAGATTTTAAGGCGCATTTGAGTCAAACAACCATCCACCCCTTCCTTCCCTCGTCTATTTTTAACCGCATCAAACCCCCTGCCTACCATGATACAGCCACTCGGAACAGACTCAGATTCCGCATCGAACTCACTTTCTGCCTCGCGCAGAAGAGAAAAAGCAGATTCTCTGCCAAGTTCACCTGATACATGAGTATTTACGGGGACGATCTTCACGCACGGCCCCCAAAGCGCCCATGAGCATTCGGCCCTCTTGGCAAATATGAGTCGTGCTTATTCCATACGAATGATGGCCTGCGGCTGAAAACTTGACCAAATTTAACTACTCGGGTGTTGGCAACTATAACTATGGGTGAGTCTTCCAAATAGCCCCTCTGCTAAGAATCCAGGCTTTATCTAATGAATCATGATTCTAAGTTTAGCTCGCCTTGTGCTGCGAGCGTCAGATGCTGCAATAGTCTTCTCGCTCTCAGGCACTCGCCCTCCATCTTTGGGACACCGTACAAGAGCCCAGAGCTCGGTAGACTGCGAGACTGTGCCGATTATCAGGTGCCATTGCCACGCAATTGCCCTACGTGATGGAATTCGGTTTGCCCTGTTTTAGGTCACCTTGGCCATCTCGCTCCCCGAGCGAGGGCTGACCGCGAGGTGTATCATTCGACGCAACAGGCGTAGATTCCAGCGTGCGGCTTTTGCTCCGGAAGCTAGTGCTGACACTTCACCACAGGATGCGGTTTCTGTGCTTTTCAACGACCTGATCGTTCCTTGTCATGAACAGCTCGAATGACAAGAGCTTACAGAATTGGCCTCATTGCATTTTTAACCCCGCAGTGACAACCAGAACCCCCGATGGTCTAGTTGGTTCATGGCGTTCGGCTGTAATGGTATAATTGTAACCGAAAAGTCACCAGTTCGATTCTGGTTCGGGGGATCTTTTTTTCCTGCCCAGTGGTTGAACACACTGTCCAGTGATTGGATCTTTTTATTAATTTGCCCTCTCGGTCGGCAAGGCTATCAGTGACCGACATCTAGCAACAATGCTTCCAAGTAGCTGATGGTCCGCAGAGCATTGTGTTTCGTGTCGAGCGCAGTGCCGCGGTCTTCGTGGCTGCGGTTGAAGGTTCGGGCGCGTGTCCGACATTTCCCACCAAACGGGATCCATCTTCGTGGTTGCAGCCGAGTTTCAGGCCTGAAACCTTGGGATTGGGCAATAGAGCATTACATTTTCGGCCAATCAACAAGAGCCCCCGATGGTCTAGTTGGTTCATGGCGTTCGGCTGTAATAGAAATTGTAACCGAAAAGTCACCAGTTCGATTCTGGTTCGGGGGATCTATGCTTTTGTTTTGGAGATGTGGTTGTTGCTTACCTTTTGTAAGCTAGGCGCTTAGGTAGGGGAATCAAGTAAATTTTTAGCCGCTAGATCAACAAACCCCCGATGGTCTAGTTGGTTCATGGCGTTCGGCTGTAATGGAAGTTGTAACCGAAAAGTCACCAGTTCGATTCTGGTTCGGGGGAATGTCTTTTTGTTTCTCTCTCTTTTAGAGCAACCCCAAGAAGATTGAGAGTAGGTTGTTAGTATATAAGAATGCATTCTTAGAGTCTGACCTATTGGGGCAGCGACACCACGTATCTATTTTGTGAAAGAGTCGGGTTCAAGCACAGGAGAGAGCCATCGCGGCAGCAGAGTCTAGTGGCGACTGAGAAGCTGGTCAACGGGTGCTTCTGACCCTGCCCACTTACGCTGCCAGACAATGTGAGAGGATCCGTTCAGAATTTGTTCCGAAGACAAGGCATCCTACTGGTACTGAATGCCTTTGTCGGCCATCAGCGAGATGGCACGTTCGAGAGTTGTGGCCCATATAGGCCCGGGGAACCGCACGGTTCTTTCATGCTGTTACAGGATGCATCGAGGGTATGAGGCGAATAACCATCCTTAAGTGCTCCCAAAAAGGCGATGGTTCATGCATCCCTCGCCTGGTTCTTCCAACCACTACAAGCGAAATCATGACCTAGACCGAAGAACCAACCATCCTGTGTCTTCCCTCCATCAATGGATCTAAGGGGGACGAGAGTCGTGGTTCTCGGAATTTGCGCGCAACCTCGTAGAATGAAAGTGCAGTGTACATGTCCAATACATGCGCATGTTGTCATGACCCAAAGGGATTGTAGAATATTCCTCAGTGGATGCTGGATGATCATACAGAGAATGCTCATGCTTGCATGTCCCACCCCGTCAGCTTCTACCGCGCTAATGCTCCTTTACCCAATACTCACGCTGGCCTCAGCTTGTTTTCAGCCCCCCCCTCTCCATTTAGCTGGCTAGGGACGTTGAATCCATCTGACCCCGAACTCAGCTCGCCACCCTAGCATTTCTGGGCCTCACCGCGCAAAAGGAAAGGGGTTGGCGCATAAATGAACATTATGATCCCTTACACCCTCATTGCATCTACGACACCATGGTCAATCGACCCAGTGTTCGAATTGCAGGTACTGAAGCTGATAGTTAGGTCGTGGTTGATATTCCTGTTTGCGTGTGCAAAACATGCAGTCTCGCTCCTCGGATGGGACGCTTTGCTTCGATAGATGGTTGTTGTATGTCGACCGAGTCGTGGGGCGAGAAGGTAGATCTGTCCATAGCCAAATTCACTGTAAGATTCGGCCAAAGACAGGGAAGGGAGGGGGGGTGGACAAAAACAAGAGCCATTCGGTAGTTGCTCGGAGATCATGGGATGGGGATGATGCTGCAAGAGAAGCAAAAAAAGAGACTTCCCCCGAACCAGAATCGAACTGGTGACTTTTCGGTTACAATTATACCATTACAGCCGAACGCCATGAACCAACTAGACCATCGGGGGTTGCTGATGTAGTCACAGCGGTATTGGTCTACTTGGTCGGCCGGGTCCACTAATGATTATCAGATAGAGAAAAGAAGACTTGCAGAGACGGAAGGGCGTGCCGCTGACAACCGAAAGCATAAATAGCGATTCACAGACCATGGATCCACCATCGAATGCGGTAACCGAAGCTTGAAGCCTTATATAGTGTCAGGTAGCGCTTCGGAGGGTTTTTATGGAGGTACAAGGTGCAACACCGCAAGTTGAGCAAGGCCTTCGCACGGGCGCTTGCTGCCATGATTAGAAATAAAGCCACGGGTTCTTGGAAATCCAAGAGTGATCAGCAACGGTCCACGAGTCAAAAATCACTGTGACAAACAAGACCCGCGGCCTGCCTTGTCCCATGTGTCTGCGGCCTTTCAAGATATCGAAAGAACAAAAAAGGATAAGATCCCCCGAACCAGAATCGAACTGGTGACTTTTCGGTTACAATTAATACCATTACAGCCGAACGCCATGAACCAACTAGACCATCGGGGGCTTCTCTTGATTAGTCATGTCAAATCTGCATATATAGAGGGCCAGCAGCTCCATCAGCAGATCTAATTCCTGGCTACGAACAGCCTGGTTAAGGAATGGCTGGGTAAGTTTCAGGGAACAGTCTGGATCGACAGTATTGAGCGTGTTTCTTTGGGAAACTACCGCCTCAGGTCTTGGTGCAGAAACGCAGACTGTATGTTCTTCCAATTTAAGCTCTCACGGGCTCCTGTGACAGATCGGCAGTATTCCTTGAACAGATGTGTTATTGCAATAGTATAATCTCCCTTCTGCGGCGTGGTCGTGTGTTCCAATGAGCTCGTTTGGAGGCACTGGGAGGCTCCGTCCTTCTTTCGACCTCTTCTTCCCTGGATCCGCACTGTATCGCCCCACACGCACCCTCGTACCTGGTATATACTATCTAGGTACCAAAGCAGCCTTCCCTGTAATCGTTTGTCAACGCCTGTCGCAAACAGTCGCCTCTCTCGCCAGTGGCGGAATCCGTGGTGAGATTGCGATTTCTCAGCATGGTAGCACACAACATGGGCACGTTGTCGTTGGATAAGAGAACCGCATGCTACTATCACTGACCGGCTGGGACCGGTCTGCCATGTTCGTCTTGCGTGAGCGTGTTCCAATATCTCCTGCCTGACTACCGTCGCGCCGCAGATCCGCCGATCAGCTTCGCTGTCACAGTGGGTGGTCGTCCATGACTAGGATGCTATATTTCTCTCTCTGCTGGGGCCCGGTTGGTTACCATACTTGCCTTGGCTACTGGCGTCATCAACACACGCCTCGAGCTCTCCTCCGGCTACAACTTGTGCCGTCGCGAGTGCCAGATAATGTACCGTACTCTTAGGAGAGGCATATAGACTATTCCCCTAGAGGGGGTCTTGGTGCATACCGGACTCGTCGACCCATATGGGAGCCTATGCTACAGCCCCGCCTGCGAGTAGCATGCACCTGGTGGCGTCTTCAATTGAGATTTTAGCAGACAGACCCGCATAGTACTTATCAGGCACAATACATGGACTGATAGGGCTAATCGATGGTCTGAAAATATCGGTTGTAGTTCGTAGCACCCTTTGTCTCAGTGTTGGTTATCCTGGGTTATCAACGTTAGTAGATGTCCATTTTACTAGACTTGGCATTTGAGGCGAATTCACTGGTTACCCAGGTGAGGCAGGGAATCCCCCGTGGCTATCCGAGTACACTGGTCGTATACGAACTTGATCCTGCCCGTGCAGCCACTGTGGGACCGGATCGGTTGGTGCGTGGAATTTGTGAGGTGTTTTGGTCCGCTGATGTAACATAATGGCATGACAGTATCACGTGCTACGGGGCAATGGCGCATCTGGGAGCGCGTCAGACTGAAGATCTGGAGGTGGCCGGTTCAAGCCCGGCTTGCCCCAACGTTTCTTTTTGGGTTTTTTTGGTGTCTATATCAGCTCTAGCGGGTCATCCGATACGGAGTCTGGAAGTGGAGGCATCTTCCCCCTTCGCCGGCTAGTGAGGCGGGTAGGGCTTCTTGCCGATGGGAGATCTGCCGCCGTACACCGCCTGCGTTTTGCATCATGCCTTTCATTGATCCAGTATACTCTGCGCTTGTATGTGATTGCTTGAGCTGGACATCAACATAAGTCATTAACAGTGATCTGCCGGGTGATATCAGAGGATGGATTAGTTGCCGTTGGAACCCTAAAACAACAATTGCACTAAAGTAGTTCATGTCACCACAAGTCCCTGTCGTGATCAACAGCCCGACGAACATTCGCCGGCAGCGCCATGAGAGCTAGATGCAAGATAGGCTGTAATTATGCTTTGGAGGGGGTATAACACTATTCAAGTCACCAAAATATAGCTGCAATTGACAATTGCCACGGGTGTTGTTGAGAATATTTGCTGTGAAAAGGCTCAGCGGAATGGTCTATAATACCGGAAGAAAGGAGCACATTTCACCAATTTCGGGCAATGGCGCATCTGGGATTCGACAGGTGGTGTCAGAAGAATCTCTGGTGTTAATCCTAAGTATCCTATAAGTACTAAGAAAGAATGACATACTTGATTCGACGGGACGATGGCGCATCTGGGTGTTGAGCATGTCTGCTGTGAAACCGGGCTTAGCGCAGGCGGTCCATAACAACCAAAGAAAAAGAGTCCTTTCCATCAATTTCGGGACGATGGCGCATCTGGGAGCGCGTCAGACTGAAGCACTAACTTCGGCCGCCAGGTTTCATCCTTCGGGATGTCCCTTGTAATCTGAAGGTGGCCGGTTCAAGCCCGGCTCGTCCCATTTTCTTTTTGCCCGTTCTTTTTGACATACCGTCGCCCCTCCATCGTCTGACATCTGTCAACATCACCATTACATCTGAATACCCGGCTACAGATATCCTCCGGATCCTTTATTTTGCTGGTCGTGGGTCAAGTCATTGTACGACACCCTAAACCAATGTTTGCGCAGAAAGATTCTGCTCCAGCGAATAATCTCATGTGACAGGTACCTACTTACGTTACTCACCCTCAGCCTCGTGCGGACCGTGTCTCATTGGTTAAGTGATCCCCATCCAGAGGCCCAGGTTGGCGTCGAGCTTTCAGCTCCAGGCTCCGCCTCGTACGAGCAATCAAAACTTCCCCTGGTCAGTTGCGACAGGCCGCCAAGATCGGACATCTCGTGACTAGCCTGCAGCTTCGCGCAGTGGTGGCAAGGGACATCTGCATAAGATTGGTGAAAACAAGCGAGCTGAAAGAAATGAGCAACAGAAGGGCAGCCTGGACCAACTCCACCACCAACGGCGTGGAGATTTAATCCTGGGATGCAATGCCCTCGCTGCCGCCCAGCATGGACGCGCCCAAATCGTACGTGCGGAAGAAAAAGTCGCATATAGCACCACACCATGCGGTTCCAACTCTCCGAGCTAGACCCCGAATCTGACGCTCTCTCCGAGTTCGTCGCCTGCCAGGTTGCCAGTTTCGGGGACCCATTTCAACCGATTTACCGGTTCTTCTACCCTATCTTTGGAGGTGAATCTGAGGCACGGAAGCAAGAGGCGCTCGCGAACCTCGTGCAATTGCACCGAGAATGGGCTCGTGAGGACCCGGACTCTGTCTTTTTGCAGATCAGGGACCGTGAACGGGACAACAAGTTTGTTGCCGGGGTTTACTTCAAGGTCCACAGACAGAACCCGTACGCGCGCGGAGGAAAAGGGGACCTGAGCGGTGACAGCGAAGAGCACAACCCGTCTGCTGCGCTGTGGTATCCAGAGGGGGCTCGACGAGAGTATATCACGCGATGCATTGAGATTTTCTCCGAGCCGCACATGAAGCTCATGCAGAAGCCGCATGTTTGTAAGTTGTTGCTCTCGTGCCGTCGATCTGGCCTCCCCTCTTGTCCGTGAGCTAAGTACGCGAATCGGTAGATATATTCGTCGGGTTCGTCTTACCCGAGTACCGCCAACTGGGTCTGGCAGACATGCTCTTGGCTGAGGTCTGTCGACGGGCAGACGAACTGGGGCTCGAGTCCTGGCTCGAAGCGGTTATCGCAATAGGGGTGACGATCTACAGGCGCCACGGGTTTATCCCCTACAGTGGCGGTCTTCTGGTTCAGCCCGCCGCGACAGCAGTGGAGGCTCAGGATGCGGATTGGAAGGATATTGAGGCCAAGATGCAGCCTCTGCGATACTGGCCCATGTGGCGGCCCCCTCGTGGAAAGCTAGAGCTCGGGAAGATGAGCCCACCCTGGGGCGAGCTGAGTACGAATAGGAGATTCTTGGGCAGGCTATGATTTCCGAGGTGGCTGGCGATTACCACTGTTCGGCAGTGGAAGTCTATGTTGGTACCAATAACTTTATAGGTACTGTCGTGCGTCTGATTTGGCATGCTAATACCATATGGGATGCCCCCCCCCCCCCCTTCGAACCACGGCAATCCACGGGTTGTTATCTCCCCTTTACCCATGTGCCACTCACCCGACCCCATGCCTGGCCCTCTGTCATGCATGGCTGCATGCAATCTGTCCTAAGAGGCACACTTATCCCGCCTGCTGAATACCACCCTAGATGAAGTAGGTCAAATTAATCACCGTCGTTGGTTCCCGACATCAACCGGCAGTACATGATCTGGCCAAGAATTATTCAAATACAGGAGAGGTATTGAAGACATATTCGGCTGTTAGCAGGCCACGATAAATCAACAGTGAGGTACAACTCATCCAAAGCCGGGAGAGGTATGATCTCGCCTGCCGTACTCCCAGTCCAACCGGATTGCCCGTCGACGGTTTGGATGACACTTTCTTCATACTCCACGATCTCCGACAGGCCATACGGTGCGGTGCGTCAAGCGCCATCGACTAGACCGTGGACAACCTCGAAGTCATTGCAATCGGTTAGGACTCCGCCCCTTGTATTATATCACAGTAGTCGCCAGCAACCGAGATGCTAGCCCACCTACCCCGATGCTATTGCCGCTTGACAGGCCCAAATCATCGCAGCACGAAGATGTATACAAGCTCGAACAGAGTCAAGGATGGCAGGTGAACCTAACATTTGTACACTCGCCGTGTCCCAATGTGCTAGTCACATCCCTGTGCTACGCCAGTGACCCTTCGCTCCAGAGAGTGCACCTACTGAATAATGAAAACTCTCGGCGAACTACCTCGTGGCGCGTACTGCTGTTTATATCAGTAGACTCTCTGGCGGTACACTCCACTCTGTTACAGGGTGATATTGCACTATACTGATCCTTCTCCCATCGAATACCCCCGATGGTCTAGTTGGTTCATGGCGTTCGGCTGTAATGGTATTGATTGTAACCGAAAAGTCACCAGTTCGATTCTGGTTCGGGGGAGTTCTACTTTTTTGCCTCTGTATTTTTCCCCTACCCATCCACCAGGGCTTTCGGCAGGGAGCATCTCAATCGGTTTTCTTGATGTAGCTCTGGAACCACCGCTCGGTCGATGTCCCCAACACCCGTGACCGTGACAGTACATAGAAACAAGCCCATCCGCCCTTCGAGTCTATTCAACCAGCAGCGACCGGTTCTCCTCGACGGATGTATCCAATCAGTGGGAACTTCAGCGACGGAGCGAGCCTTCAATGCAACTGTGCTTATCCGTCCTACGGACATTCAGGTTGGACTATATATACCCCTCTACAGAGATCCAGCCTCGGCCTGGAACGGGGCCGGTTAGTTTATTCTCCCGGGATGAACAAAACCGCCATGCTTGGACATCGGTCCAGCTGGGCTCTATACACCATACCATGCCCCCCATCCTCGTCCCGGGGGCCAACCATTGCTTATGACGTTGTCGACAGTTAGTGGTCCAGACGGATTCGCCCGTGTATGTGGTGATGCAGGGGCTATGCAATACTTATATCCCCCCTCGACACGTGGGAGATAAGATCATCGTGTTCTCCAGCAAGGAGTCGCCGAACCTTAGTTAGCCTCGGAGGATGACGAATGCGTGTGTATGGAGATACTTGGCTGTGCTGTGCGTACAACAACGACGACGCTGTTGTTTTCTCTCGCTCGGTGGGCTTCTGTGTCATGGTTTGAGTAAAGTGGAAGGAAGGTATGATTTTAAAATTGATGGGCCATGGTGTTGAGATCCAAATGCAGGGTGTAACTTACAGCGCGTCCGATACATAAGAGGTGGTAGACCTGCCGCTGGCTGGCTGTGTGGCTTGCACCGCGCCTCCAGGACGACCGTCCTCCGCTGTATTGGGGCGTCAATTCTATTTTCCTTGATACTTTTTTTTCTTGTGGTCGTTTCTTGGGCTGTGGAGGACTCGGTGTAGTTGGGCAGAATTCCATAAAAGGACAAAGAGAGAGACAGGAGGGGAAAAACGAAGCGTGCAATAAGGAAGTTAACGAAGTGGTAACCCACCCAACCACCCAGCTGCCTAAAAAAAAAATAACATTCCCCCGAACCAGAATCGAACTGGTGACTTTTCGGTTACAATTTCCATTACAGCCGAACGCCATGAACCAACTAGACCATCGGGGGAGTGATTATAGTTTTGTCACAAAATATACTTTATATAGGCACAAACCTGAGTGAGGATTTTCATAGCCACATGCACGATCGATGTTAGAAGAATGAAACCCCCCCCCATCGGCTATGAGCTATGTTTCTTGGTAGTAAGCTACTTTTGAGGGTGAGAGGACGTTAGTAAGTGTTCATAAACGCTTGATTAGTCGGTACTTGGCCTAGATGCGATGAATTATCCATCATGTCGACGTTGAGCCATGTACACAGTACGGTATTTCGGCATAGGCCAGGTGGGCGGGGGGGCCTGGGATATACGGTAGAGGCCATGAACTAGGCAAGGTAGCCTGCGACGGCGACCACGTGTATGTGGGCTCGTCGGTGTATGTCTTTCGTCTCTGCATTCAGACCCAGTGATGAGTGATGGGCTGTGTGCGTTAGGAGCATGATCTAGACCCCAGGTGCCGGCCCAGCCTTCGGTGACGACAGCGACGGATATATACATCTCAGGCACTTAGTGGTCGTCCATTCGACGCAAGTAATCCTGACCCCTTGAGACAAGAACAAAGAAACCACAAGCCACCTGCAGCACAAAGGAAAGCCACGCAGGACAACCCGGGGCGCGAAAAGGCAGCAGTGCAAGAAAGCAGCCCGCAGAGACCGGTAACCTACCCCGTTGCCGTCATGTACACCCTCTCCAGTCTAGTCTTCGCCCGCCATCCATCAGAGGCCAGCCACCACAATCCAGCAAACACTGCACCGCAAGTCAAGCAGCTCACCACAGTCACCACACATACCAAAGGCTGATTTCCACCAATATATGCAGATACAGACAGGGTGCCACACCATCCCAACAAACCCCCACAGAACCACGGAAGGTGACACTGCCAGAGATAGATAGACAGACAGACAGACAGACAAACACCAGAGCTTCCCATATCAACACCATGACCCTTCGTCCTCCCACCCTCCCCCTTCGCATCCATAGCACAAGCCAAACAACCAACCACCGAGATCGGTCTACCAGCCACCATCGCGCCCAGAGAACAATCGACACGCTCAAGCAAAGCAGGCTACAAGCACACTCCTGTACAAACAGCACACCGAAGCAAGAGACTGTTAGGAGCTCGAAATATGCTACGCCTGCGCAAAAGCGGTCTCTTCTATGCACCGTGCGACCACAGAGGCGCCTCGATGCGCACGTAGTATGCGAGAGAGACGCTGCAGATAATGGAGGACAGCTGGGTCTTGGTCCAAGACAGGGTTGATCGATGCCACCGAGATCATCAGGGGTTACCTAACTTGTCCAGCCCAAGCTGCAGAGCAGGTTCAAAGTGGCTATGCCCATCCAAGCATGGCACAAGAGACTTACCAGAGGAGCTTCTCGGCGAAAACTGGTGCTAATAAGCTGACGAAGGGGCACGAACACTGGACCAGCAGGACATTTTGTGGCGTGGTTCAAGCAATGCCAACGTAATATTGACCGTGTCAGATCAGGACAACTACAATCTACCGGCAAGAACAGAAACAATCTACGGTAGGAAGAAAGTAGAACGAAATGATTCATGATTCAAGTTTTGTAGGATCAACTACATAACCCAAGTCTAGTTCCGTAATTCCATATTTTGTAATCATGAAAGCATCATCACAACATCATCACCCTTCAGAAACCAGCTTATTTCTTACCGGCCTTCTGGGCAGCCTTGGTGACCTTACCGGCACCACCAGCGGACTTGTCGACGGCCTTGATGACACCGACGGCAACGGTCTGGCGCATGTCACGGACGGCGAAACGACCAAGGGGAGGGTACTCAGTGAAGGACTCAACACACATGGGCTTGGAGGGGATCATCTTGACGATAGCGGCATCACCGGACTTGATGAACTTGGGGTTCTGCTCGATGGCCTTACCGGTACGGCGGTCAATCTTCTCAAGGAGCTCAGCGAACTTGCAAGCAATGTGAGCGGTGTGGCAGTCGAGGACGGGAGCGTAACCAGCGCCGACCTGACCGGGGTGGTTGAGGACGATGACCTGAGCAGTGAAGCTGGCGGCACCGGCAGGGGGGTCGTTCTTGGAGTCACCGGCAACGTTACCACGGCGAACCTCCTTGACGGAAACGTTCTTGACGTTGAAACCAACGTTGTCACCGGGGACACCCTCCTTGAGCTGCTGGTGGTGCATCTCAACGGACTTGACTTCAGTGGTGACGTTGGCGGGAGCGAAGGTCACGACCATACCAGGGGTGATGACACCAGTCTCGACACGACCAACGGGCACAGTTCCAATACCGGAGATCTTGTAGACATCCTGGAGAGGAAGACGGAGGGGCTTGTTGGAGGGACGGACGGGAGGCTCAATGGCGTCGATGGCCTCGAGAAGGGTCTTACCGGTGGCCTTGCCAGCCTTGGTCTCCTTCTCCCAACCCTTGTACCAGGGGCAGTTGGAGGAAACCTCGAGCATGTTGTCACCGTTGAAACCGGAGATGGGGACGAAGGGAACGGCCTTGGGGTTGTAGCCGACCTTCTTGATGAAGTTGGAGGTCTCCTTGACGATCTCGTTGTAACGGTCCTCGGACCACTTGCAGGTGTCCATCTTGTTGAGGGCAACAATGAGCTGACGGACACCGAGGGTGAAAGCGAGCAGAGCGTGCTCACGGGTCTGGCCATCCTTGGAGATACCAGCCTCGAATTCACCAGTACCGGAGGCAATGATGAGGATAGCGCAATCGGCCTGGGAGGTACCAGTGATCATGTTCTTGATGAAGTCACGGTGACCGGGGGCATCTATGGGGGATGGGTTAGATGATGGATGATAGCTTGTAGAGTCATGGGAGACAACTTACCAATGACGGTAACCTCATACTTGGCAGTCTGGAACTTCCAGAGAGCGATATCGATGGTGATACCACGCTCACGCTCGGACTTGAGCTTGTCAAGAACCCAAGCGTACTTGAAAGAACCCTTACCGAGCTCAGCGGCTTCCTTCTCGAACTTCTCGATGGTACGCTGGTCGATACCACCGCACTTGTAGATCAAGTGACCGGTAGTGGTGGACTTGCCGGAATCGACGTGGCCGATAACGACGATGTTGATGTGAGAACGCTCTTCCTTACTGTTGGAAAGGAGATGAGTTAACTGGATGATTCCTTTCGATTCTGGATCCAAGCCATCACTGTTCGTGTGGATGGAAAACTCTGATTGTTGGCTGGACTTACCCCATGGTGACGGTGTTGTGAAGTGAACTTTTGAAAAGGTTCTAAAAAAATTGCTCAGATACTACGGCCACAAATGCGTAGAGGTGCTGAACAACAAGAGTCAGTAAGAGAGGAATGAAGAAAGGAAGAGGAAGAGGGAAGAGGGAAGCGAGAAGGATGGGGGAAAGATATACGTACTGAAGCGGACGAGGAGGGAAGGAAGAAAATTCTGTGGGAGGGGGGAGGAGGGGAAATCCTTATATGGAGGGGTCAAGCGAGAGGGCGACTAAGCGGGCGGGCTCCAACCCTTGGCGAATAATGAGCGCAATTGGACATGGAGGGGTAAACCAGGTTGACCCAGCCCCACTTCCAGTCTGGTTTGGTTCCAACTGCGGGCCCAGCGCAAAAAAAAAATCTTCACCTGCTGGGCGGAGCCTGGACTGCTTGCAGCATGAGCAGACTGAGCAGATTGAGTAGACACTCAGCAGAGCCCATGCGATCATTACTTGGTTCTGCTTATCCTGTCTATTCCTTTTGAACCACTCGGAGTCCTTACTTGCAACCGTATCCACTATATCGAAGAATTTTTTTGTCTTCTTTTCTTTACCTACCATTTCCCCTTCTTTCCACCTATCCCGATACTCGTTAGTCGGTATTACCCCCTATCCTCTTCTTTGGTACCTCTCTCTCAAAAATCGCCTCCTGGAGCTGGCTACATACTACCAAATCCGTAAACTCAAGGTGGGGGTTCCAGCACGTAGGTACTACCTGCTGTTCAAGGTTCCCGCAAGTACCCCTCGGTTTGGACAGAAATTCTGGGCATCAACGCAGGTAAGGAGTGGATTTTTACTGCTGGTCCGACTTTTGTTGGCCTTGTTTGCAACAGAACCCCGCGGCAGGTGGCAACGTTGATTTGTCCGTTGGAAGGGCAGCTGTGGCACGGCCGAGTGGCGCCCGCCCCGATCCACTGTGGGCTCGGTGGGATGTGAGGTCAATCTCGCGGTCGCCGCCGCCGCCGCAACAGCAGCAGCAGCAGCAACAAATGATCATTATTTTTTTTATCTAACGGGAAAGGAAAAAGTCTGTCTTGCTATGATACCGACTTTTTTTTGCCTCCCGGTGGTTGGTGTGTTCCGTTCGATGAACTAGATTTTGTTCCATTTGATGGGACCTTGAAAGGGAAAAGGACTAAAAAAAATCAACATGTTTGATATTGATAGGCACACTGATCGCCTACCGGTAGACTACTAACGAACAGATTTTTCTTTTTTGCCGCCACCCCTCCCTCTTGTTTCCTTTTGTTTTTTGCCATCATGTTGTCTGTGTGTGCGTGTGTGTGTTGGAGTGCCCCTCACCGAGTCTGAGTATGAGGGTCGCCGGTTTTTGGCGGCTCTCACATCTTCTTTCTTCTCTTGGCCTTTACCTATTCGAGTCCCCGAGGGTGTCGGGGGGGCAAATAAAATGACTCAAGTTTGGTACCGTATGAGAGCCGGACTAGATGCCACACAACACAACACATCAACAAAGGAAGCTTACCTTAACTCGAACCAATCCAGATCGGGGGATTATCTGCCCGTTGCCGGTCCAAAGGTAAAATTCCCATCAGCACGGGTTCGAAATTTCTTTTTGTTTTGGGTTCGGCGCTTGCTCTGACAGACTAGCCCTTCCTGCTTCTGTCTGAACTACTAGTCAACATCCTTCCTTAGTGCTGTTTTTAACTACAATGGAACATCAAGCGGTCAATCATCTATTGAGGGGTATCTGTTTAAGCTAGATAGATGTATACATCATCACACAGGCCATCGTGAAGGGCCCAAAGGTCGACATCATGAAGGTTAGACTTCAAGAGTTTGACTCCAAAAAAATCCACCAGAGACCGAAACCGTTTGTGTCGGAACACAAATCCACTGCTTCTTCTTCTCTATAGTCTAATCCATAAAACAAAAAACATTTTCCCTCAACATTATAGGTATATAGTTCCCAACCTGGATCGAGGGGCAAGACACATCAATTTTCTCTCCATCTGGCGCCGCACGTGGTACACTGGAATGTAATATCCGCTATCAGCAAGGCATGTCGGGCAGTATGCATACAGCCCGCAGGAGAGCCGCGGGGAGGGGTAAAACCAAAGAAGAAAAAAAAATAAATGATTAAAATTAGCACCCACCTTCAAGAATGTAGTCATCGGTTCATCTGCACTCCGAATCTGCAGCTGGAAGAAATATGCACGGTCGCCATTACAGTTCTCTGCGGGGCATTGGGCTGAAGGAGGGGGAGGAGGAGGTCAGCCTCTGCAAGCTTCCTTCTCTCTTCACTGTCTGGGTTGTCTCGCCAAGCTGGCGGTATCGAAACACACAGCCAAGAGGGAGAAACATTGTAGGCGAAGCAACTTACTGGCCACGCTATCCGCATTCGCAAATTCTTCCTTGCCGCCAAATACGTCCTCGACCTCTTTCTGCTTCATCGGAGTCTTCTCGAACCAGCTCTGTTCCAGGACATATTGGTAGGGGCAGGTGCGGCATTCGAAGCGGTTGACGCCCAATGGATGTCTTCCGGTCGGCTCTGCTCGCGAGATGGTGAGCGCATTGCTGCAGTTGGGACAGACTATTGAGTGATCGGGGTCAGAGATGTCCCGTCCAGAGAATCATGCAGCTATAGCAGGGCTAGCGGCACCCCGCGCGCGAAGGAGGGACTCACAGGTCAACGGCATGATGAGGATATTTTCTGGCTAGAAAGTCCGTCAATCAAAGATGTCTAGTGGGTAGCAATGTTGGTGTCACGGTAGCAAGTTTCTCCGCATAATGTGTGGCCCTGCATGAAGGCGACTACGGGAAGAAATCCAGTGCAGCAGCTGTCACTGTTTCGCGCAGTAGTCAGTCAGGGTCGCATGCGATCTCAGCGGAGCGATAAAGAACTAGGCCGGGTTGAGGCTCTTATCAGCCGGCGATGCCATTGGGGCGGACGAGATTGACAAGCCGCCGATTGGACGCGGGGCAAGACTGGAAACAGACCGGATAAACTTGCTTGCCGATAGGCCGCCTGCCGCCGCGTCGAGAGCCGGCGGGGAGCCAACAATAGGGAGGCATCAGGCATAAGGCAATAACACCCATCTAAACACAACTTAGCTTCTGCAAACCGATCCGGAACTGTAAGTGAGGCTTGCTGCGATCTATTCTTGTCCCTCATGGCCCGGCCTCATTTGTGCAAGCCTATATATAGACTTTGCTCCCCACATGCCTCGTGCTAATCTTCTATTGATCCTCTAGTTGCTTCCGACACCGCCTCCTGACTACTTCGCGGCTTCTCCGGCGGCATTAATACACAGCAACTCCTCAGGGCAGCGACTCTACTGAATCTTGACGGATTATTTGGAGATTGATTGCGCTTTATCATCTCTTTCCGACTCTCAGTACCCCGCACACGAAATCATAATGGCTGACGAGGTGAGTGCCATCCTCACTTCCGTTGCCCTTCTACATTGCTCATACTAGTGCATAGGGCGCTTCCCCGCGTGAGCTGGTTGTGGAGGCCTGTCGGCGCGACCAGCCTCACCTGATAGAACAGGTGCTTGAAGGCATGACGGGCAAGTCGAACGAAGAGGTGGCCGAATTCTTCAACGGGGTGACGGATTCCATGGGCAACCATGCTCTACACATCTGCGCCTCATACGGAAGCTGTCAGTACCCACCTTCCAGCGATGGAGCCCCCAAGCTAGACCTGCACACTGACCAATTCTTTGGATACATACAGATGACACCATGGACACCCTCTTCGACATTCAGTACTTCGAATGTGACCCCCTGACCCGCCTCGACAAAGATACCCCGCTGCACGTCGCAGTCCGCTATGCCAACGAGAAGGATGCTGAGTTAGGGCTGGAGATGGTCCGGATGATGTGCGACGCCGGTTGCGACCCGCGGGTCCGGAATAAGCACGGCCAGAAGCCCACGGAGCTCGTCTACAACAACCCAGAGATCAAGTCGGTCCTGCAGCAAGCCGAGTACGTGATGGCCGAGGGACTCCGGGAGGACGCGGATAGTGGCTCCGTGCACGACAGTGCCAGCGACAGCGAGTAAATATGTAATAGCGAAACACACCACCCCTGTATAGCGATTTGTCTTAATTCCTATAGATGTATGCAAGCGATGTTCACCCTTTGAGTTTGGGAGTGTTTATCTATGTTTTCGGAATTGCATAAATTGTGTAACTACGTGGCTGAATGCAGGGTCGACCCTGTGTGACGTGCAGACAGGGATGCCGCTGCAGTTTCGGGGTTTGCATGGAGTGTAGAAATGCAAGTAAGACCGCATCTTGCAGAAACTTAATCCCGCCTTCCGAGTCGGATATACGTAGTAGCAGGAAGCACCTTTCGAGCTCAAACATATGGCATAAACTAGGGTATCATTCAGTCGAGCAGGACCTGGATAAAGTGATAACGCAAAGGAACAATTCATCGAACATGGTGCATAATCAATCGCTCTCTTCGCCCTCAGAGCCAGACTCGGTTCGTCCACGCCGTCGGGGCTGTTGTCTTCTTTGGCCCCGCGGTCCTTGACTCTCCTCTTCCTCGTTGGCAGGGATATTCTCGGCCGGTCTCTCTTGCGCGCGACCTTGAGGCGCCTGGAGCCCGAGGCTCCGCGCCAGACGGATCTCCAACTCCTCGTCGGGCTCATCTGCATCCTGCTGGCCGTAGACCTCGCGAACCAGTCCAGCCACACCCTGAGCTCCCACCTCGACCTTCCCACGCGGGCCCAGAATGTACTCGATGACTTCCTCCCCACCATCGACATCGCGGTTCCGCACCAGGTATCCTTCTTTGCAGAGCCGCTGAAGGAACCGGTCCGTGCGATCAACAGGCGTGTAGGTGTTAGTATTTGTCCGCTGCAGATACCTATCCAGCTTCTGCTCTTGAATCGTGCCCCCATTCAGCAGAATCACGGCAATGATGAACGAATACAACCCAGTGTAGGTACTTTCCAACGGAGCCTTGCTCGGGCGCAGAATTGCCGGCCTGCGGTACTCCGGCGGCAGGAGACTGGTGAGTATCCAGTTCTTATTCCCCGAGGACGCCTTTTCGACCTTCTGAGCAGCTACAGCGCAAACCAGGGAAACCCCCCAAACGGGTTAACAAAAC